CTAGATATATTTTATCTAAAAACTTCCCAGCAATTTCCTATTCTTGTGGATCCTCTCTGCTTCAAGTTCAAGAATTTTAACCAGATTACCCTAGAAAATATAAAATAGCACTCCAAATGCTGTGTTACAAATGCTTAAAATACATTAAACATATTTTGAGCTTACAAGAAAGTATAAAAATCCCTGCAGACCAGTAAATAATCAGGAAGCTAAAAGCCAAAGTAGTAATCATGAGCTGACACTGGTTTGAGATTTTAACAGCTACGTGGTATAGACAATGAGGCCGTGGACCTGAGCAAGGTAGGACTCAGAAGTGAGGACTAGAAAAAACAGTGACACAGAGGCAGTCACTCTTTGGTCCCTTATTCCCTGCACACCTCAAGTATTGCTTCCCTGTCTTTACTTGTACTGGACTTTCCCAGACTACTACCTCCAGAGCTATTTTCTCTTTCAAGTTCCTAAATTCTGGTCTTGCTTTTACTTGGCTAACAATTATTTTCTATTAAAATTAAAGGTTTCTAATCACTTTCTATTAAAATTAATAACTTATTTATCTACAAATTGACAATAAAGGTATAACTGTAATTTCTACCAACAACAATCCTTATTCTTGTCCAGGAAACTGATACATTCTAATGAGAAATGGAAAAGACCCTGATGATGGGAGGGATTGGGGGCAGGAGGAGAAGGGGACAACAAAGGATGAGATGGCTGGATGGCATCACCGACTGGATGGACATGAGTTTGAGTAAACTCTGGGAGTTGGTGATGGACAGAGAGGCCTGGCGTGCTGCGATTCATGGGGTCGCAAAGAGTCGGACACAACTGAGCGACTAAACTGAACTGAACTGAATGAGAAATGGAAGGGATAAGATGAATGATGTGGAAGAAAGTTAAGCATGGCAGCTAAAGATAACGGGGCGGGGTGGGGGGGGTGGTGGCAAGGAATACAGTGTTCCAGTGTTCTTCTCCACTAGGCAATATCTTCTGGACTTCCAGCCTCCAGATTATTCTGTCTTTATTGAATAAAGGCATTACCACCCACCCAGTTGTACAAGCCAGAAATTTAGAAATTGTCCTTTCCTTTTCCTTAATATCCAACCTACAACCAGGTGATACCCATTTTACTTCTTAACTATTTTCCAAATCTATCCTCTCTGTATCCTATATCAAGTTTTCTCAACCTCATATCTATTGATATTTTAGGCTTGATAGTTCTCAGTTTGGGGGAGAGGGGTATCCCTGTAACCACAGGATGTTTGGGCAGAATTTCTGACTTCTACTATGAGATGCCAGTAGCAGCACCAACTCCTCCTTACTGCCTGGTGGTGACAATCAAAGATGTCTCCAACATTGCCAAATAGCTCCTGGTTTGCAAAACAGCCCCCAAGATGAGATCACTGCCTTACACCAAGTTATTATCATTTCTTATCCAGTATATATAGCAATAACCTACTAGTGTGTCTCCCTGAATCCACCATATTACTGTACCCCATCCTATAACCCATTCTCCATACTATAACCAGAGTGGTATTCCAAATCCAATCTTACCAGTCCCTACTTAAAACACTATAGTGGCTTCCCATTTCTCTTATAATAAAATCCAAAATCCTTATTACTGCTTTATAAAGTTCTAGCTCTCACTTCTCCAGATTCATCCTGTACCTCACTGTATACTACTTCCCCTTCATCAGTGCATTCTAGCCACATTGGCTATCTTTCAGTTTCTCAAACAGGTCATTCTCTCTCCAATCATTGCACTTTGCCTCAACCCTCTGCCAAGAAGGTTCTTCTCCCACCTTGCATAACACTTTGAGAATAAGCAGAAGCTATTTTGAAAATAATAAGTATCCAGAGGCTGTAGATTAAAAGCAGTAACCTAAATAAAAAGTTTAGTGCATTCTGATGGCTGGAAAAAAGAACATATTGTATCTGGGATGGGGTAGACAAAGATTAGTGATGACCAACAAGAAGGAAAGATAGAGGACAATGTGTCAAAAGAGTCACAAAACCTTCATTCTAGCCTCTGTTCTGTCACTCACTATCCATGGCATTTCTTTTTAATCTATAAATAGGAAAACTAACTTTTTTGTTGTCCACTTCTATGAGGTTTAACACATGTAACCACCAGTACAATCAGGATACAAAACAGTTTCAAACTCCCCCTCAATTCTCTGGTGCTGGCCTTTTGTAGTCAAACACCTCATCACTCCAGGCCCCTGGCAACCACTGACCCATTCTTTGTCCTACACATTTACCTTTGCCTGAGATTCAAACTTAATCTTCCTAAGTCTTGTTTCTTCAGTCATGAAGAAACACACACACACACCATCAGGAGATGGCATATATATATATATATATATATATAACATATATTCCATCTTCTTTATATTAAAATAGTAAGTTACTTATGATGACTGATTGTCTGCCATGGTTAAAAAGCCTGGTGTATGCTAAGCATCCCATCTAGGTTCATATTTAGAAAAGGCTTTCTTTAGATTTGTGGCTAATGCCCAATTTTTGGAATCCTGCATCTTGGACCTTCAGTCTCCTCCATAGGGACGGCTCCATCTCAGATTTCTACGTGCTTCCATAGTGGGCCTGTGACTTTGTTTATTCCTACAAAGCTATGAGCTCTAGAATGTTCCTAACCTTTCCTGTGGTTGTCCTTCCTCAGTTTATACACTGCAATAGTTTGAGCAGCCGCCTGCAATTTTCTTCTCAGCAGTCTTTACTTGGAGAGTCATTCCAAGCTTGTTCAAGCACCTTCTTTATGAACATAGCTTATCCTGCATGCCTAAAGGTAATACCGAAGATACTGTTAAGTCAACAAGTCGCAGGAGTAGAGTCAAGCCTTCTGTCCCCAGTGATGACCTAATATGAAAAAACTCATTGCCTTGTCTCATAGGGCTGTTACACTAGTAAATCACAAGAATGAGATATAGGACATTATAAGGATTTTAATAAATGCATCTGAAAAATCATTCATAATTCTCTATAGTGTAACATATTACATATAACTATAATTGTTTGAATAACTAGATCTTAAGGTATTGATGAACTAATTAATGTGTCCCTAAAATAAGGCACCTAATGGTATATGAGAGGAATCTAAACTTGGCCTAACCCTATTTACACATTTTAATTAATGAACAGCTGAAGATATAGAAGCACAATTACTAAGCTTATAAATGTCTTAGCTAGTAGGGGTAGCTAAAAATAATGTTAGAATCATACTTCAAAAAATATCAACATAAATCAGTTAATATGGAACAACACAGACAAATTAATAAGCCAAAATAGGAAGAAAGAGATCAACTACAAAAATAGAGAAAGAGAGAGACCGAGTTTGACAGCTGCTCACATAGTAATATCTGGGCATATTAGTAGATTACAAATTCGCTATAAGCCATTAATGTGACATGACAATTTAAAAAAAAACAAAACAAAAAACTCACACTATTACATTGCTCTTTTCAGGCTCAGTGATGAGCTCCATGTCACCAACTCCAGTGATCAACTCTCAACCTCATTTTTCACCTCCTAGCAGCATTTAACAAAGGTGATCATCCATCTTTTTTGTACCACTTTCCTTTTCCTTGCTCAGCATACTCTTGGCTCTCCTACTCACTGGCTGCTCTTACCAGCTTCCTTTAGGACAGGTGACTCCCAAATTTCTATCTCCAGTCCAAACCTTTCCTTGAAATCCAAATTTATATGCATCTGCCTCATAACCATAGAAACCTCAGAACCACCTCCCTTCTCAAATTAGCTTTTCCTATAGTCTTTCCCATCACAGTAAACAGCCAAGTTATCCTTCCAGTTGCTCAGGTCATAATCTTTGAGCCATTCTTGATCTTTTTTTCAATAACCCATATTCATTCCATCAGTAAATCCTTTTGACTGCCTACAAAACCTGACTACTCTCACCACCTTCACTGCTCCATCAGCTACCCTCAGGATTATTACAGTCATCTCCTAAATGGTCTCCCTACTTCCAACCTTGCGAATCTCATTCCCACAATCTATTCTCAATACTGCAGAGAGAACCTTTAAAAACACACATTTATTCAATATTCAGTCTAAGACTATTTACTGAATTATGTGCAAGGCACTGTTTCAGGTGCTTAAAATACATATATATGTGAAAAGAAGAAGTAAAAGTTGTTGCCCTCCTGCAGCTTTTGCATCCTGTAAAAGCACAGATAATAAACTATAAATACAGTAAAAGAAATAAATAAAATACATGGTAGATCATAAATGCTACATGAAAAAAAACAGAGCAGGTAAGAAGAAGCAGTGCTAGGGGAAATGGGATGGTTTGTAGATTCAAATGGGAAATGAGTCTAGGTGTCATTGGCTAAATAACCTTTGAGCAAAGACCTGAAAGAGGTAAGGACTTAACCATGCAGATATCTGTATAATAGCATTCCAGTCAGATGTTAAAATTAAGAATACATAAAATACTATTTTTTGGTAGTACTCAAACTTCAATTGACCACAGGATGGGCTGAAAGACACAAGATTTTAACTTGCTATTTTTATCTATATATTCTTATATTTTAATTCTTAAACAATGTCTTAATAAGCCACAAGTGCTTTTTCAGAAATGATAAATGAAGTATCAGAAACCACTTATGCAGGCAGGCTTTAAGTCTTTTCCCAAGATTCAATTACGAATTTTTCCTTTCATTTCACTGAGTTTCTTTTATGACCCGTAAAAAGCAGTTAGAAAAGCCAGTATTTTTAATATGCATATCTAATACTCAGAGAAAAACTGCAAGTGCATCAAACACAGGAGATCACCTGGATTTAGCTTGCTAAAACATTTTCAAATATAAATACTGACTGATTTTTCAAATTAAGTTAGTTATAAAACTTAGGATAAAACAAAGTCATCAGATTTATTAACATAATAAAATGAGCACAAAATTGTGAATTTTTAAAAGCTTGTTCATTTCCATCTAATTGGATAAGACTAGCACAATGTTTGTTTTTACCTTCCGGTGGCCTGTTGGATGTTGCCACAACGACGACCCCGTTTTTGAACAGATTTTCAAAAAGCTGTTTCAGAATCATGGCATCAGCAATGTCAGTGACCTATGGACAGCAACACATTTGTTTTATTTTAATTTCACTTCTGCTCTAACAAATTTGCTAATGGCTCATCTTTTTTTTTTTTTTAATATGGAAGTGAATTCCAAGAGAAAAATTCTAATTATCATGAAGAAAAGAGTAGATAATTAAAAGCATGAAAGACTGTAGTCGGTTAAACTTGACTCTTCTTTTTTTGCAAGCCTATCATTTCTACTCAAATTATTAAATGATTCTATGTTAACTTCTTTCATAGAACTACAGGTGGAAAGCACAGATAATTGTCCTAAACATTTAGGAAATCTAACTAATTAGAACTAACATGACCAACTCCCCCCTCCTACTCCCCCTCCTACTCCCATTACAGTCTCTCTCCCCAAATAAAGAAGAGAGAGGAAAAAAGAGAGGAAAAAAAAAAAAAAAACACAGGCTGTTTGAGATTTCTAACACCTTTTTGGCAAAGGTCCCTGAAAAGGTGACTTTAAATGGTCATGGGACTTTAGAAATAAGGACAAGTAGCCTGTGAGACAAAATCAGCTGCTGTTGAAAATAGAATGATATGACATAGATACTATTGTGCAATTGTTGCACAAAACAATTCAACAGATGGCCCATCACAAAAATAAGCAATTTCATTGTTCTTTTTAAGTGCCTTCTATTACTGTCCATGAATAATCAAAAGGCACTGCAGTCATTTCCAGCACAGCCAGCCTCTGCTAACCTTCGCAAACACAAATATTCCTTCTACAAAAAAAACCAAAAACAAAAAAACCAACCTTATAAGAATGGTTAACACGGTGCTGAAAAAAAAAAATAGCTTCTGACTAAAACAGAAATAAACAATGCAGATAAAACTATTTCATCTAAGTTACAGAGATAATATGACCACTGATACTTTCTAAGATTATTTTTTTAATCCACAATTAACAAGCAATCTTAATGATAATTTTTTAAAAAAGCTTTTTAAAATCACAAAGAAATACAGAAATTAGGGAGGGAAGGAAGTTGACTTCACAAATAAATATATAGTGAAGGTTGATATTAATTATTGCACCTTAACCTATGAATATAACAACACAGTTTTGGATACTCTCAGTGTAAAAATGTTTTGATCTTCCTTTAACAGCACATTTTAGGTAATCGCAATAAAACTTATTTTATATTCACAAAAATATATCACACAATATATATCACACTGTTATTTTTAAACCAGGCTAAAGTACACAGAAACTAGGGACATTCTTTCAAATTAGATCAAAATAGTAAAAGTGACCAACTAAATGGTTATAATACAACTAACAACAACCTGGGTGACAGAAGTCTAAATTACTTCTCTCTTTCAGCTGATCTCTCACTCAAAAGTTTAATTATTTCCTTCCCACCTGAACAAAACCAAATCAAACCAGGATACGGGAATGTGCAGATCTTTTTTTTTTTTTTTTTTTGCTGTCTCAGGCTTTAACTTTAAACTATTAACTAAAAAAAATTAAAAAGACTTAGGGAACTTACAAAGTGGTGATTAAAATGAAAAGGAAAGTGGTACTGATATTATTTAATTTGGAGCTTAGGATCACTGTCAAATTTTGCTTCCGCCAAAACACTCACAGAGAAGGCCCTTTTCAAATGCTTAAACACCAGTGGCATTTCTGATGAGAGGACAGAACAAGCCTGCAAATTTTAGAAGCAACTGCACTTTTAAATTGGATTCCCAATACACTGACTTTTAAAAAGAATGGTTATTAATTAAAATCACCCAATTTTAGAGAATAAAAATGATTATTTGACTATCTCGCTGATTTTCTTGAAAAAACTAAAATAGCTTTTGTGCCCTAAGGTTCAGATAAGTGAAGGGACATTTAGTTTATAACACTGTGCAAAGGTTTAAACTGAAAGTTGAAAAAGCAAGCAATAAGGACTGGTGGTTGAATTATAATTTGTTGTTTTTGTATTACAGAATGTTTTTGCTATAGCAGAGTAAATTAACTTGGAGAAGCTATGGCTAATTAATAAAGTAGGAGTCACTTGGTGTAGCTGGGTGCCAATGCATACTCTTTTGATCTTGTCCTTGCACTTGTTCAGCTTTGCTGGGGAACAGTAATTTTACAGTATAAGTGAACAGAAGACAATTGGCCACACATTCTTGAAGAGCGAGCTTTTTCATCACCCAGCATTTCATTACCACCAGGAACAAAAGAGAAGGCTACAGATTACCACTAAGGGTAGTCTGCTAATACAGAGTGGAGACATTTCATTAGCATTAAAGAGAAAAGATTTTTTTATGACCTAGAGTTGCTTTCCATCATGACTCACTTAAGTAAAAAAAAGGAAAAAAAAATCTAATGGTTAATTTACATGTGTAAGTACTTGAGTCTCAGTCATCTACTGATTGGTACAGGGCCATGTAATGAGTGACAAACATAAGCATGCATTATTAGTAATTAGTATTAGCACAAAAATAAGCACCTATTTTTTATTAGCAGTTTTTAATAGCTTTCCTGTTTTATAAAAACGGTTAAAACTATTTTTTAAATGATATTGATAGCTTATAGAGGAGAATTTTGCATGATATTCTGCTCATTAGAATTCTTTTTTGGGGGGGGACCATATTAGTAAAATATCTATCCTGTGTCCCTAAAAGAAACATAAGAAAACATTTTTTAAAAAATTCAGTCTCCTTCAGTATTGTGATATCTTCAGAATCATAAATGGCTTAACAAGAAATATTAATATTCAAAGAGAATATAATGAAGACCCTAAAGAAAACTTTAAGGAAAACCTATTCTTTTATTTCAGTAGTTAGTAATTAAAACACATAAAAATATTCTATCTAGACAAATCTCTCAAACAAGAACAGTGTATTTGATAAAACAGGTAAAACTGAAATACTATGCTTGGTAAAACTGACCTTCTGCAAATGTAATCCAAATGCTACCAAAACATAATCTTAAAAAAGCCCTAAATTGAAGAGAAAAGAAAGAATATATTATTGTTTTTAAGCAGCAATTGTTCCTATTCATCCTCCTACAAAATAAATATTATATTAGTTAACACCATCTAATGGTCAATAATAACTAGTTAAAAATCAAGACCAGTAATAGGATTCAGTTTTAAAAGTGAAGTGGTGATTGCAGACACACTGTCATAGAGATTAAAGTGTCTAAAAACTCTGCACTAGCAAGATAATTTCTACACTCTATCATTAAAAGATTTTCTAAAAGCCCACCTAGTTCTAGGTCTATATATTTAAACATATAATAGAAGACATATAGCAAAGAGAACATACAACATAGCCTTTATTACTAGTGAATAAGAGCACTGATGATGGATTCAAACTGAGTTACCAGCTCTGTAACCTTGGAAAAGTAACTTAACTTCTCTGACCCTTAATTCTCTCATCAATCCAATAAAGGCAGTAACAACAACTACCTTGCAAAATCATTATGATACATATAGTAAATCCTCAAGAAATGTTCATTATGACTACTACCTCTATATGTTATGTATGCTAGGATAAGACCATATGATTTATATATAACTGTATAGAATTTTAGCTGTAGATGGAATGATACATAGCATAGTACAGTAGTTAGGAACACAGGCACATAGAAAACACTCAGTAAACAATAGCTAATATTATTACAGCATATACTAATAGATAAAAGCACCCTAATAAATAAATGGTCACTGAATCCAACAGTTAGTTCACAAAAGATGGATTTAACAGTAAGCAAATAGATACAGAAAAGACAAACCATATTATTACTTAAAAGAATATAATTAAAACAATGAGATCCCATTTTTCACCTATTAGAACAAAAATGCTAAGATAATTCAGAATATTGACAGGAATAAATGCAGGTTGTTATATATGAAGGAAGTGGGCTTAGTTGGGAGACTACTTCAATAACTTCAATAGATATTAATTGATACTAAGATTTATTCATTTGCTCACTCACTATTATTTGTTCACTCATTTATACTGAAGCACTGTTTTAGACATTTGAGATACATCAATCAGCAAAACAACCTTCGAGTTTACATTCCTGTAGAGAAATATGTATAATAAGTAGTAAACAATAAATAAGTAGATATATGTCAGAGGTAATATATGTTATGGAAAAAAAAAGGATAGGGGCTTTAGAAGTGTGGGAGTCAATTGTATTTTTAAACAGGGCATTGGCCTTGTTAAGTAACTAAGCAAAGATCTGAAGAAGTAAGAGTATCCTGATGGACATGTAGGAGAGGCCATTCCATGCAGAAAGTGCAAAGGCTTGGCTTGTTTGTTCCAAATTGTACAGACGCTGGGGTCAGAGTGCTGATGCAGCAATACTCTGAGTTATCATTTTACCCTCTGATTTTTAGAAAAGGAGGACAAGTAGAGACCTGAACTGGCAGTTAACCGAGTTCCGATGTACTAGAAGGAGCTCTTCTAAGACCAGTGGAAGATAGTCCACAGGATACTGAAAGTAGGAAATCTAGGCTCTGCTCAGTGATCAACTCTGCCCTCATTCTTGCCCTTATATGCTCGCTTTTCCTGGCTTTTCTCCAAAAGATATATGCAAATACTAGTTTTTCCTTGCATGCAGGAAGCTCCAAGGTTCAGGTTTGGTACTGCAGGGAAAACAAAAGAGCAAGACTATTAACATTTTTCATTCTAGGACATTCAGGCCAACGTTGCTCAAGGGAAGAGGGTAAACGCTACCATACTAGCATGCTACCCTGAAATACGGGAGCAAATAAAAGCAATCAAGTTATTTTTCAGTCTCGTTCTGTTGCCTTTGTGCATATTTTTTTCAAAACTCTGGTGAGAAACAAGCATTTGGTATAAAAACTGCCATTAACTATGGTCCCCTAATCTATGAAGAAAATAGGATTGGAAAAAGTAGGGAGCATTCAGGGAGTCTGAAAGTAAGGGTGATAAGGTTAGAGAGGAACCGGCGGCGGGGGAGGGTTGAGCAAGGGGGATGACACCATCTTGAAAAGTGAAAGTCTTAGTCGCTCAGTCGTGTCCAACTTTTTGTGACCCCCATGGACTGTAGCCTGCCAGACTCCTCTGTCCATAGACTTTCCCAGGCAAGAATTCTGGAGTGGGTTACCATTCCTTTCTCCCGCCTTATAATCCCATCTTATAATATATCCTGTCTTAGAGTTTAAGCTCTTTTAAGTTGGGTTTTCTGTTACCTGCAGCCAAAAGCATCCTAATATATACCTCTTTTCTTTGCTTTTCTTGGGCTTTGGTTCATCAAGGTAAACCTCCTCCCATTAGAGATAACAGATATTAAGGAAGATGACATTTCCTCACATTACTTTACTTCTATTCACTCTAGCTGTTCTAGATCACAGAAAAAATTTTTTCAACACAGAAGATAAAAGCAAGACATGAATAGTTCCTTTCTCATCAAAACTCTTTGCAAGAAACAGGAGATTCAACTAAAGGAAATGGATTGTTTATACTCGAGATCCCAGGATGAAATAGCACTGAAAGCACCTCCTGGGAACTGGTGCTGGAAATAGGCCTGAAATTACAGGTCGCTCTGGAGAGCTCAGCAGCTGTCTAGGGAGGACTCTGGTACTCCTCCCGCTAATGTGATTCAGCTACTTCCTAAATCTCTTTGTTCCTGGCTCATTACTAAGTGGGAACTTCCCTCTGTACCTTTTAGTTCAAATACACAAGTAAAAGTGTATGACTGGCTTAATCACTAGGCCACACCACGCAAGCCCAAGGGTGTTGACAAGCTTGTAGACTAGCTACTCATGGATCAGATGTCTTGACATGATCCATGTGACTGTGGGACAGATAGGGTCCTATAGAAAGGAATAAGCCTTTTTAAGACAACTGGGGCGAATGAGTAAATGAATGAATGAACCAACTCTGGATAAGGCAGGAGATGACAGACCGCTCCGTCGCATTCACTTTCTCTTTGTTAGCAAGCAACCTTTTATAAGCAAGGGGTCTGTCTCCCTCTTGATCTCCCTTAATACGTAATTTGAAAAATCTTTTCTGTTGCCTTACATTTCATTTACAATACTTGATTCATCCCGATAGATAGCTGCTTTTGTTTCCTTCTTCACAACCATGTATCAATCTTCTAAAATTTGAACTCAATAGAGAATACCCAGCAATCAGACAGGTTTCTGTTAGGACCTCACTATCAGGATGGCAATATGATTTTCATGGGCCCTTTAACCTTCAGAAGACCTTTCCTTAATTAAATTATAAATTTATTTAAACATATATATAAATATACATCATATACATATAAACTGCATTTTATAACTGTGTTGGTATAAACAAATATAGTACAGATACAGACAGATAACAGGCTGGATTCATTATTGATATATTCATTTCTTCTCCAAATTATAAAAGAAATTATCATCATGGACCCTCAGCACTGTACCTGCAGTGGGTAATTTGGCCCTGCTTGGCATAAATCTTCTCAGGATCTCCTTTGCACAAACAGATTTTTATCTTCTCCTAACTTTCTTAAACAGTCCTGTCAATGGTCCTGCCAATTCTATTAATTATTTCCATCATGCAGAATAACTATTTAATAGAATTAAGTGAAGTAAGGACACTTTGTAAGCCATGAATTACTTAACAAAGTTTGCATAATAATATACTTTAAAATTTTTAATTTCAATACCTTTAATCAAAAATTTAACATGTTGAATACCTGATAACTGTGGCAAATGAAAGTACTGAAAGTCGTGTACCTAAAAGTTTATTTTGTTTTAAAAAGCTGATACAACACAAGTAACATAGAGAAGTAGTGCTTTGTTCACATCACTGGTTTCCCTGTTTCAATAAGACTTCTGTTTCTAAGGGGAAAAAAAATTTAACTCTGTTGATTCAATTTTGTTTAGAGATATTTTGATTAAAACTCATAATGAGAAACCAAGAGATGGCCTTCAGTGACTCATCACTGACTTGTTGAAGGCCACATAACTTAACTCAGCGCTATTTTTAGAACTAAATAAGGCCCTTCTCTTTCTATAGTACACTCCTGTACTCAGCGTACCTCTTCAGAGAAGCTGAGGAACATCTCTTTCCATAAGCCTTTCTTCTGAAGACCTTTGTAGTTCTACAATACAACGGGTGAATGTGAGTGCCAGGCTGTCTGAATACGACTGAAGGGAGAAAGAGGTAAAAATTCCTCCTCCCCAGATGGTTCCGTGTAACACCATTCCTGGTAAAAAAAAAATTCTCCTTTCTCCTCTATCATAAACTGAGACGGTTGTGAGCTGTGTGTATTGAGTCGCTAGAGAAGACCTACTTGCCTCATTTGGGATAAAGGCATCTCGGCCAAAGATCTACCTACTAACTCGCACAGACGAACAAGAAATAATGCACTACCAATTTAAATGCATAATTTCAGAGAATCTTAAAACTGGAAGAAACTTTAAAATTCAACCAGGGCAATTTCCTCACTTCATTACAAATACATTGTGAGGCTTAGATGAGATGCATGAGTCACACAGGGCCTGCCTTGAGGTAAAGTGAAAAATGAAAGTCGCTCAGTCGTGTCCGACTCTTTGAGACACCGATGGACTATATAGTTCACGAAATTCACCAGGCCAGATAATGGAGTGGGTAGCCATTCCCTTCTCCAGGGGATTTTCCCAACCTACAGATTGAACTCAGGTCTCCCGCAATGCAGGCAGAATCTTTACCAGTTGAGCCACGGGTAGGCATATAACTAATGTTAGTCTCCTACTCTTGAAAGTTCTCTGGGCCTTTATCCTAGGCAATCAGACACAGGAGTTTCTGCACTCGGGTCCAGAAATATTTTTTCAAAAGTTTTGGGTGTGATGCCCTGTTTTTAAGCTTATATTCAGTACTCACAGATTTATTTTAAACTTATATTCAGTACTCATGGATTTTTCTATTTTCCTTCCAATAACCAATTGCACTTATGGTAAGCATCTTAGAAAAAACATTTCAGAACTACCAAAAAGAACAGTCAAATAAAGAGAAAATAATTCTTAACCTAGAGTATCTTGTATCATTATTATTGTTGCTGTTATTTTTATTATCACTACTATTGTAACACTGGGATACAGAGGACACAGAATAAGCATAAGACATTGTTTGCCTTGATGTGATAATTGCTCTCATAAGAAATAAAGACCAGGAAATAACATATTACCAATTTAAATGCACAATTTCAAATCCTAAAACCAGAACAAACTTTAAAATTTCAACTAGAGCAATTCCCTTCCTTCATCACAGATAAGTGATGAGGCTTAAATGAGATGTGTGAATCCCTTATTTTTTATATAACACTTTAAAAAAAAACTTTAAATATCTTTAAAGACATTATTTTGTAATCATAATATTATTTCCCACACATCATGATGTAGGGGAAATGTGAATCCATTGATTAGAATATAGGCTAGACAAGCTTCCTACAAAAGGAAGAATAGTAAACATTTCAGGTTTTGCCAGCAGTATAGGCTGTCTGATGCATTTTCGTTAGTTTTTTTTTAATAACTTCATTTATTTATTTATTTAGTTTTGGCTGTTCGGGGTCTCTGTTGCTGTGCAGGTCTTTCTCTATTTGTGGTGAGCAGGGGTTATGCTTCGTCACAACATGCAAACTTCTCACTGCGGCGGCTTCTCTTGTGGAGGGGCACAGGCCCCAGGTGCATGGGCTTCAGTTGCTGAGAGCTGAGGTTTCCAGGCTCACAGTGCAGGCTCACAGCACGTGGGATCCCCCCAGGCCAGGGACAGAACTTGCCTCTCCTGCACTGGCCGGTGGATTCTTTACCAATGAGCCACCAGCAAAGCCCTCTTTTCCTTTTTTTAAAAAATATAAAAATCTTTCTTTTCTCACTGGCCATACAAAAGCAGGTGGGTCAATTTGCCCTGTGCAAGTCATGCTGTGCTGACGCAAGGACTAGATAATAAAATTAAAGTTGTAAGAGATAAAGTATTAAATCAATTTATAAAAACTGATAAAATGAGGAACAGAATTGAAATACTCACACTTCACTCAGTATACCATTCTACATCTATGAAACAGCTCTACCTTACCTGAAACTCATCAAAACATAAGAGACATGCTTCTTCACTAATTTCTTCAGCTATAGGAGCTATTGGATCGTATGATTTAGCCATGAATCCTGGTTTCCTCTTTGGCAAGCTCTGTTTAAGGCGGTGTATCCCTTAAATGGATGAAATTAAACACAAATCAAATATTGTACTAAAAGTACATTTTAGACAACTAAGTACACACTTTTTAAACCTCTAAATGAAACAATGAATATACAAATGAAGTTTAAATTTCACATATAAGCAAATATGATTATTACGGCTGGCTGTCGTTTCTCTACCTCAAAATAAAATTGTTCACATATTACTACATTCCCATGGTTGTAAGGACACTCTGTGGTCATTCTGTCTCCACTGTTCAGCCACTTTGGAGATGACACAGTGACAGAACAGATGATTAGATGGTGGCTGATGGATCAACAGATGGATCTTAGCCCTGAGGACTTCAGGGATGCAGGCACCGGAGGTCATCCTGCCCTCTATGTCTGGCACGTCTAATCAGGATGTTTCCTTACTTACAGCCAGTCCCACTTTATTCACTATGTTACTAAATGCTGAAAGTATTCAAAGAAAAGTACAATATTCCTGCCCTGAGGAGGTTACAGGATGGCTGGTAAACAAATAATGCAAAGATGAAATAACGTAAGAACACTGACAAAGCAATAAAGCATACATACAAGAACAAACTGAATGCCTACATGCTAAGGTGACACAGAGGAAACGGCCTAATCAAGAATACCTTGGTGAGACAGGTGCAGCTTTAACATTTCTTATTGATCCTTAGTAGACAGAGGAAAAGTCTGGCCTTCACAGAGTAACCTCTGTTCTCTGATTTGGAAGGAATGAATTTGTCTCTAGGACCAACTCTGGACACATTACTAATTGTTTCAATATAGCACAAAACAAATGAAGCTAAATAAAATCTTACTTTTAGCAAAAATCAATTTTTTTAGATTAAGAACTTTAAAATGAGGAAAATTATTTTGCAGTGTTTGGCCACTTAAAAATCACTTCTTTCAGATCATCAACTTACTTTGGTGAACGTCTAGCATGAAACCATGAAAATGAACACGTTTTTTCCTCTTCATTTCCACATAAGCATAAAACATGTCCATCACCATTGTTTTCCCTGTACCTTAAAAAAAAAAAATACTATTAAACAGTATGTACTGATTGCTCTAATGATTGTTTATTAGCTTTGGGATAATGAACCAACACTCTGCTACTGGAAAACTTAACACTATGTTACTTTTTAAAAAAAAAAAGAAGTGTTTATTTCTTATGTTAAACTACCTGAAAATAAAATGTTGATATTCTTTTCTGTTAAAATCCTCTTTTTAGGAAATACATTTAGTAGCACTCTGGGGACTATTTCTTCCAGATAACTATGTTCATAAACTGGCAAGATTTACAGATTATTTGTTAGTCAGCTTCTCTTCTGAAAGTTACCAGTATAAATAAAATAATTATTTTATCATTTAAAATAATAATAAACAAAATAAGTAATGGCCCTTACTTAGCATGAAAAAAGTGTCAGTCACTCAGTCATGTCTGACTCTTTTCAACCATGTGGACTGTAGCCCACCAGGCTCCTCTGTCCATGGAATTCTCCAGGCAAGAATATTGGAGTGGGTAGCCATTCCCTTCTCCAGGGGATCTTCCAGACCCAAGGATCAAACCTGGGTTTCCCACATCATAGGCAGATTCTTTACTATCTGAGCCACCAGGGAAGTCTGTGGAACTGTCTTAGACAATATGGAAAATTCACCCGTGAAAAATAAGAAAATATAGACTAGCATCTAACATAAAAATTGAAAATAAATAACAGATGTAGATTAGAGCTGGATAATTGACAATTATAATACTTTTTTTAAAAGCTGAGAATATAGGCTTTTGAAAGAGGCCTACTTGAAGAAATTCAGATACAGTTAACCTCTATAATTAAATTATCCAACTTTAAGCACTCTGAAACTTTTAATCACTATGACCACATTAGTAATTGAAGAATCAACAGGCTGAGCATTTAACACGGCATGCACAGGAAGCCTATTCCCTCACAGAAAGCCCAGAGCTCTGGGGACACTGAAAGTGATCAAGCTTATTATCACACCCAGCATTCCCCAGCAGGCAGGCCAGGGAATGCTGGTCTTGTCTCTCATCCTCATGGCTTCTTCCACCATCCCATGTACACTGTTGGTGGGAATGTAAATTGGTGCAGTAGCTATGGAAAACAGTATGGAGACAGTTTTAAAAACTAAAAATAGAACTACCATATGATCCAGCAATTCTACTCTTGGGTATATATCTGGAAAGAATGAAAACACAAACTTTAAAAGATGCATGCATCCCAATGTTCACAGCAGCACTATTTACAGCAGCCAAGATGTAGAAGCAACCTAATTGCCCATCAGCAGACAACTGTATTAAGAAGATGAGCCCTATGTCACTCCAGATTTTAGCTTGCAGGCACTTTTCAGATTGTTGCACAGAAAGAGGGAATCCATGTAAAATACCAGGGTCTAACTGAGTTGGGCTGAAAGATCAGGACTGTGGGAGTCCAAAATGCAGGTGAAATTTGTGAGGCAAAGTGCCAGAGAGGAGGCAGCTATACAATGAAAGAGCCCCAGAAACCAACACATGGGCACTCTTCAGTCTTTCACTGAATAACAGCTGTTCACATGTAGGGTGATACCTCATGACAGGAGGCAAAGAAAGCTGTGAGATGAGCCATTTTCAGAGACAGTGATACATTCAACAGCTTGAGAGATGATCCACTGAACTATGCTGAGTGAAAAAAAGAAAGCCAATCTTAAAAAGTTACAAGGTTTCTTATTTATATACATTCTTGAAATGACAGAATTTTAGAAATAGAGAACAGATTAGTGGTTGCCAGGATATAGAAATGGAGGGTGAATAGGTATGGTTGTAAAATGATGGGCAATACAAGGAGTTCTTGTGGTAATGCGGTTGTTCAGTATCTTGACTAAGGCAGTGGATACATGAACCTACACAGGTGATAAACTGTATAGAAGTGAATACACACACCTAAGTGAGTACAGCACAGCTGATAGGGAACTCCCAGATACAGAGGGCCAAGTGCATTCCCTGCATAATGCCATTTTATATAAGGGACATGAATATTACCAAATTTTTATATCCTTGAGGACTACTGGAACCAATCCCCTGTGGATACCTAGGGATGACTATATAATTAAAACTGGAGAAATCTGAATAAGATCAGTGAATTGAATCAATGTCAATATCCTGGTTTTGATATTTATACTACAGTTTTGCAAAATGTTGCCTTAGAGGGGAAATGAGTTAAGTGCATAGAGATCTCTCTGTACTACTTATAACTCCATCTGAATCTATAATTATCTCAATGAAGTTTTTAATTAAAAAAATACTTCAAATGAATCAAGCTGGCATGTAAGTAACTTGTTTAACTACCTGTCACGATAATATTCAACATATAAAAAGTAGATAATCCTGGAACCCTCCTATTCTGTTCAAAGGAATGTAAATTGGTATAGCCACTATGGAAAACATTATGGAGGTTCCTGAAGAAACTAAATATAGAACTACCATATGATCCAGCAATCCCATTACTGGGCATATACCCAGATAAAACAATAATTCAAAAAAATACATGCACCCCAATGTTCATTGCAGCACTATTTACAATAGCCAGGACATGGAAGCAACCTAGATGTCCATCAACAGGTGAGTAGATAAAGAAGTTATGGTACATAACTTCAATGGAATATTACTCAGTTATAAAAAAGAACACATTTGAGTCAGTTCTACTGAGGTGGCTGAACCCAAAGCTTATACCAAGTGAAGTAAGCCAGAAAGAGAAAAACAAATATCATATATTAATACATATGCATGGAATCTAAAAGATGGTACTGATGAACCTATTTGCAGGTTCAGTGGAAGAAGGAGAGGGAAGGACGAATTGAGAGAGTAGCACTGAAACATATACATTACAATACGTAAAACAGACAGCCAGTGGGAATTTGCTCTATGATGTACGGAGCTCAAATTCAGTGCTCTGTGATAACCTAGAGGGGTGGCATGCAGTGGAGGGAGGTTCAAGAGGGAGGGACATATGTATACCTATAGCTGATTCAAGTTGATGTACAGCAGAAATCAATACAATACTGTAAAGTAATTATCCTCCAATTAAAAATAAATAAATTTTAAAACACAGTTCAGTTCAGTTCAGTCGCTCAGTTGTATCCAACTTTTTGCAATCCCATGGACTGCAGCATGTCAGGCCTCCCTATCCATTACCAACTCCCAGAGTTTACCCAAACTCATGTCCATCAAGTCGGTGATGCCACCATCCAACCATCTCATCCTCTGTCATCCCCTTCTCCTCCTGCCCTCAATCTTTCCCAGCATCAGGGTCTTTTCAAATGAGTCAGCTCTTCGCATCGGGTGGCCAAAGTATTGGAATTTCAGCTTTAGCATCAGTCCTTCCAATAAACATCCAGGACTGATCTCCTTTAGGATGGACTGGTTGGATCTCCTTGCAGTCCAAGGGACTCTCAAGAGTCTTCTCCAACACCATACTTCAAAAGCATCAATTCTTCGGTGCTCAACTTTCTATATAGTCCAACTCTCACATCCATATCTATTTATATTAAACTGAGATGATGAATGGAAACTAAACTTATTGCTGTAGTTTGCAATAAGTTTAGTTTTTCAATACATTAGCTGTGTTGTTCAACTTAAGCTTACATATGTCATATATGAATCATAATGTTATATATGAATTACATCTCAATAAAACTAGAAAAACTTGTCAATTAAAAAAAATTAGATAATCCTAGAATCCTCCTATACTGTTGGTGGGAATGTAAAGTAGTACAGCCACTACTATGGCCGAATAGTATACTGAATAGTACACTGAATACTGAATAGTACAGAGGTTCCTTAAGAAACTAAAAATAGAATTACCACATGACCCAACAATCCCACTATTGGGCATATACCCAAAAACAAACAATAATTCAAAAAGATATATGCACCCCAATGTTCACTGTGGCACTGTTTACAATAGCAAGGACATGGAAGCAACCTAAATGTCCATCAATGGAGTAATAGATAAAGAAGAGGTGATAAACATATACAATGGAATGTTATTCAGCAGTGAAAAAGAACAAAATAATGCCTTTTGCAGCAACGTGGAGGGACCTAGAGATTATCATACTGAGTGAAGTAAGTCAGACAGAGAAAGACAAATATCATATGATAATGCTTACATGTGAAATCTTTAAAAAAAGGGTATAAGTGAACTTATTTCCAAAACAGAAGTAGAGTCACAGATATAGAAAACAAACTTAGAGTTACCAGAGGATAAGGAGAGGGGAGGAATAAATTGGGAGATTGGGACGACATATATATACTGTGCATGTGTACTAAGTTGCCTCAGTCGTGTCTGACTCTTTGAGACCCTATGGACTGTAGCCTACCAGGCTCCTCTGTCCATGGGATTCTCCAGGCAAGAATACTGAAGTGGGCTGGGATCTTCCCAACCCAGGGATTGAACCCAGGTCTCCCACATTGCAGGTGGATCTTTACCATCTGAGCCAACAGGGAAGCCCATATATATACTATTATATGTAAAACGGAAAACAATTAGAACCTGCTGTATGGCATAGGGAGCTCTACTCAGTACCCTATAATGGTCTATATGGAAAAAGAATCTAAAAAGGAGTGGGTGTATATATATATGTAGAAAGTAACACAACATTGTAAATCAACTACATTCCCGTTAAAGACTTTTAAAGATTATATAATTTTCACAATGTTTGAAAAAAATTTTTGAAAAAATTCAACACACATTCACAGTAAAAACTCTTAGCAAAAAAGAAAAAGAAGCAAACTTCCTTGACCTCATAAAGGACAAATACCAAAAAACCTACAGTGAAAAGATACTCAATAACATTTCAAAGATGCGAATTAAAACTATAATAAGATACGACTTCATATCCATTAGGATAGATATTATGAAAACAACAAACAAAAACTGGATGATAAGGACGTGGAAAAATGGGAAAACTTGTACATTATAGGTTGGAATGTAAAATGGTGCAGTTGCTATGGAAAACAGTATGGCAG